AACCTTTGCACAAGTGCCATTTTACTCGTAATTACATAGACTTTGTTTTAATAGCAATAATAGAGAAAGCTTTCTAACAAACTGATGAAAAAAAAACACAGGACAAATTGATATTATATCACCAACTCAAGAAAATAAGTGACTACAGCAACATAAAAATTACATACATATATATATATATATATTGACACTTCATAAGCATAATAGCTTTGATGAAAACAAATTTAAATTTCTTATACCTTTTCCATGAAAACTGTGTGTCTTTGAGAGCTTGATCAGCTAATCGATCCAAGACAAATATGGCTTGTTCTCCATACCCTTGTTTCAACTTGCTTGGAGGAAAATCTATGGTAACTCCCTGCAAAAAATACATCTTAAGCTAAAACTACATCTACATTCTGAAGCAAAAAAGGACATTAAATATCTTAAGGCTAATAAAATGAAACTACCAAAATTATATACATATGTAAACACATTTTTTCATTATACTAATCATTAGTAAATATAAAATATATCCATATTTGTTCACATAACATTTAGGTCTCCCCCTTCAGGCTATATCTTATAACAAAAAATAAAATTTCAAAGAACTTAAGTGAAAATATATATAAAATACATTGATGTCAATAACCCCGTTTAATTTATAAAACATCAGTAGTACAATCAGTAAGAAATTTATCTCATAAAAAATAAATAATCTCCCATTTTACATACTTTTAGTGATGTGAATATACTGAAAAAGTGACCTCGAAAATTGTACAAAATGAATCTCTAAAATGCTTTCAAAAAAAAAACACTATAACAATTTCTTCCAGTATCGAACCATACAACAAGGCTATAACTAAACTGCAGTACATGTAACCCAAAAAAAATAATTTGTAAAATTTCTTACCATTTGTCTCAGCACATCTACAATATTAGATATTGTTGCATTTGGGTCATCATACTGGAAATGGAAAAATATTGTATGAACAATTAACAATAAAATGGTTAATATCTAACATGAAAATATTAATGTGATATATACTTATAACTACTGCTCATCGATATGATTGTTGAACTTTTAAAGATATTGTATTTCCATTCATCTTCGTAAAAGTATTACGATTAAACCAATTTTGTCTTAATAGAATCTACACAAATCAACAGTCTAATTAATGCCCACGCTATTTTCTTTCTCCAAAAACTCGGTTTATCCTAAATTTCTGAACAACAAGAAATTTAATTGTAGCTCTACACCAAAACGGAAATGTGACACTGCTTGTTTTGAAAATTTTGTCAAGTTCTCAGCCTAGTAATGAATACAAATCTCCAACTAGTACATATTTGTTTTAATTATAATATTGGAATGATACCAAACATATTCAGAAGTAATCTTACAGAAAAAAAAAGAAATTGCACTGACTTATGAGCATCCATAATAAAAAACATAATCAGACAATAAACCTTCAAGAATGTTAAACTTTTCTATATACATAGACTGTCCAGAACTACGGCATAATTTCTGCATTAGGAGGCCCGAAGGTCATCTTGAGTGGTCACCTGTTTTAACCAATCACACCACTATACAGAAGTGTGTTTTCTGTCAGTCAGTCAGTCAGTTGACACTAAAATGACATCACATGTGGGACACACACGTAACGTTGCAATTTGTACTGTTGCGATGTCAGTAAAATGTGTGCATGCCATGAATCCTGAGAAGAATTATGCACTTTATAGGCTACAACACAGTATGAAATACGAACTTCAAAAGCAAGAAATAGAAATATTTGTTACTCTTAATTTTGATTCTATTTACTCTTGAAACAGAATACTTTCAGGGACCCTGTGCAAGAACATCTAGTCACAAGTCCAACATCTTTACATTATAGCTCCAATAAATAGAAACAAACGTGTCATCTGAATAACATTAGGCAAGAACACCAGTGAAAACTCTACAAAGTTAACTGGATCTTTAAGTTCTTCACAAAAAATCCATTAGAATCTTGGCTATAGCATAATCCTAAGAAATCCAAAAAAAAATGTTTGTACCATTGTTCTTGATAATTCAAAAAGTTTGTAAATGATCCTACATAATATTTTTTGGCATTTATTTATACTGTTTGAGTTAATACTGGCAATGTTATGGAAGCCTGAATTTAGAATTACAATGAAAATAGAATATTTCTCACAATCTACATTTCAACCATAAATAAATAAGAACAGCGCATCTCCAGCATTTGCCAGTTGAGAATAAACAGCAGGGTTATTTTATAAAATTAGCAGGTTCAATATCCATTCACAGTGTGTGTGTGTGTGTGTGTGTGTGCACTTTGAACCTCAGGTTGTTTGCACATAGAGAATGGAGTTCTGATCCTGAATATTTAAGAAAATGTACATACGTCAATCTTTCTGCAGGACCAAGCTTAAGTTTATGAAGATGCATTCCAACTCACCTCTTGGGGTGTGTCAAAAGACTTTCCACATTTTCTTATCAACCAAGCTGCCAATGTTGTGAACATATAGAACTGTTCTCCTGGATTTGTTTGAAGGGCAAAGTAATGGCTAAAATATAAATTGTATATATGAATGTGAAGCTAGAATATTAAACAATGATAACTGATTCTCTAAAGTTCTTTGTAAATACCAATAATCTTTTGGGAATATGACTCACAAGAACTTAAAATTCCATTTAGTCTTATCATCAATGTTCCCTCTAATTTTTTCAATCAATAAATGTACGGAATGAATTTTTTCATGTGCACCAGTATCAAGGCAATGTGTGCTACCAGATTTTTTTATAGGTGTGGTGTGTGGGGGGTTCGGGGGGGGGGGGGGTTTAGACCATGCTATCATTTGGTTATTTGGGCTTTAGGCTTAGTGATTGCCAGGGTCATTAAGGCTGTCAACATGTTGACACTCCTCACCATTACTGAGGATGTGCACGGCTGGAACAATGAAGTATGCTGCACTTGACTGGTCGTTGTGCAGCCGTGCAGCTTAGAGGGAACATATACATTAACATAACCCAAAATGTACTTAGCTAGTTTAGGGTTTGTTTTCAAGGTTTCATATTTCAAACTATACCACCACAAGTGAATGAAACCTGAATGTTAATATAATTGAAAGGTTAAAAAGTTTCTACATTTCTTTCAGAATAAAAAATAGAAATAAATATGTATGAAAAAAGATTTATACCAAGCTATATCCAATGTTAAAACACATCTAACGCTCATTTAGAAGACATCTCCTATCACTGATTTACTTTCACTCATGAGAGATGGCTTAACTTAAAACTATTGTGCTCAACTGATTGTGGCACAAATTACGTTAACCAATATCGTTGATTTATAGTTTTTACATCTGAGTATGTTTTTTTTTTCTTTTATTTCCACATAAATATCCAATGAAACTAAATGAATCTGAAGTACAAATTTGGAAAGTTTTGTTTACCGGTTTAAGGGTTTCAAACGAATTTCCCGGGTAAATTCTTTATCATAATTAAGCAACTTAAGTTTGTCTAATAAGTCATCCATAACAACAAAGGACATGAAAGCTTGTCCGGGTCCTCCATCTTCCAGAACTTCTTCTCGTCTTCGTTCCTCACCCATTACTGACAAATAATAACTGGAGAGTACTGACTATCGAACCCCTAAAAAGTGGTCATCATAAGTATAAACACACGAATGCATCATAAAATACACATCACTTAAAATACCTTCAAAAGAATGTTTCTTTTATTAAACACAATTTTAAATAAGTAGAAAATGCTACTTAGCATACTGGTCAATTATAAACCTGACAGACATACGTAGCTAAGCTCTTTGATACACTATACAGTAAGACAAAAAAATTCTGTCAACTGTTAAGTTTAAGATAATTGATAAACTATGTAACTTTAGAGATATGTTTACTTCTGAAGGAATCAGTTACATAAAACTGCTATCTTTATTATAAAAACCCAGCATACTGAATGCTTAAGAAATTAAACAGTCATGATGGAAGAAGTTAGAGGACCCAAATAAGAAAAAAATACAGTTCTACAATATGGAAAGTGATCAAATGAGAATTTACTCTTATAAAACAAAAATAAAAGTTGAGCTTGAACTTTCCTAAACAAAAATTTAACATGACTGCATTAAGGTTTATAAAATAAACTCAAATGATATCTTGTACTTATCAAATTCGGTTACAGATGTAGGGTTATAATGTGGGTGTAAAATTTAGATATATTAACACGTTAAGATCTATATTTTCTTCTACACTTTTTTTCGTTTCACTCACAGGCATGTACTATTCAGTCGTTTCACTCACAGGTGTGTACTATTCAATCGTTTCACTCACAGGCGTGTACTATTCAGAGGATCCAGTCTGAGGTCAGACAGATGAAAACGTACAACTTAACTCCCTCATACACCAAATAGTGTGAAGTATAATTTTTGACAATTATTGAATTTATAAGTAGTAGTCTGTATGTGCTTGATGACTGAAATACCTAAAGGTGATTGTTGTATTTGTAACCATAGACTTGTGACGGAAACAAATGTATGGAAGAAAACCTGTACTAATGTGTTAATATATAAATAGCATACAAATATATACTGGTACTTATACGTACTAAGATTAGGCCACAGCAAAAAAATTAAAAATCTACATGTACCAGTTCTTTTGAACCACACTAGTATTAAAGCCAATACCACACTAAGCTGTAAAGCTCGAGCTTTTGTTAAATACCTCACCATGACCATGTCATTAGATTTGCACTGGATAAACAAATTTTAAAATGTGGCCTATTAAATAATAAAGAAAACAGGGATCATGCAATCATAATGAAAAAAACCATATCCAGTATCTACGCAGAAAGCCACCGTAAATACAAAATACACTGCATGCAATTCTGTACTCGTGTAACTGTTGCTATTTTTGGTTTATTTTTTTCCATTCTAAAAAGAAAACAAGATGCTAAAAAGAATTAATTTAAGAAGGAGAAAAAAAAGAGACTGCTGTTTAACAAAGTTACATGAAATTAGGAATAACCTAAATTCTTGTGATTTGTTTTATTTTCTGTCTTCTTTGACTTAAAACACTTACTTTGAATAATTTTACTTTGTTGTCATGTGTATCAGTAAGACTAATGAATTTGGTAAAATAAATAGTGGAACTTAAGATAAATTATTCTAACTAACATATGTTTTTACTTTCTACATTAATATTATGATAGATGTTACTATCAGTATGACTCTATTAGTTTATCACTGTCAGTGTATGAATCAAAAAATTAAAAGGTGATTTGATACTAATACTATTAGTATTATCGAGTATTACTACTTGTAGTACTACCATTACCAATGTTGATTTCTAGTATAAGTATAACTTTTATTTTTAAGTATAATTACTACTTCATTTCTTACATTACAAATTTTACAGTAGCCTACTTATATTATAATGTTTTTATTCGTTTTTAAGTTTAATGTCAGTCGATAAGCAATAAAGGGCCTATTATTAAGTAGTTGTATTACTAATCAAATGACTGCCTACGTACCAAGTAATACAAATAGTTGTCTAGATTAGCCTTTATCTGCTTAAGCCTAAGGATGGGCAAATCAACGGACGTTCTGTGAATGTACTACTACTAACCTATTTTATATCATATATGTCCACTTTTTTTACCAGTCCTCCGTCTTTGACAACTTACAAATCTAATTTTCAAATGGTGCGTGAATTAAATAACAGCTGTAGTCGAAACACTTACAGTAAACCATGCCCGCATTTCAGGTATGTTCCTATCCACAAGTTCTTATTCTTAAACCTGCGCAGTTTCCTTAACTTTATATCGTTACTATAGTAACGTGAGTGCAAAACAGAAAAAGTTTTAAAAATTGAGTCAGTTTTGTTTATAACAATCATAAAAATATATTAACGACGTTTACGTTTCTATGCATATAATTTAGAATCAAACAGTTTTTGTTTATTTGTTTTTAACTTTATAATTTACAAAATAAAATACATATAATATATTTATAACTAGCTGGAGTACCCGTCCCCTGGACAGAAGTTATGTAACAATGGTCGGAAAAGGCTTGAATGGGTAATTAAGAAAAACTTTAATATAAGTTAAACATAACAGCAAATGTACAACGTTTCGACAAGGTTTTGTCGTCATCATCATTATTAATCTCAAAGTGGGTTCCTCGTCATCGAAGAAGTTATGTAAATTCATTATTAATTAAAAGTTATCTTGTCTTAGAACATGAAAAGCTGCTTCCCTTATAAGTGTAACTGTAAAAAACGCAAAAACGCCCATAAAACTGCAAAGCACAAAATGTAAAACCGCATGGACCCAACAAAACCAAATTTGGTGAAGATCCATCAACAGGGAGCGAAGTAGTGGTAAAAAGCAAAATCGCTAATAAAAAAACCACAAAACGTAAAATACAAAACTGAATATCTGTATGTATTTCCCCGTGGGCCCAATGAAACTCCCTACAAAATTTAGTGAAGATTCATCTGCAGGAGGTGAGGTAGTGGTAAAAAATCCGAAAACGCAAAGATGACCATACAAACGGAAAAACGCAAAATGCAAAACTTACACGCTGTATGTATCTCCCCATGGACCTAATGAACCTCAAAACCAAATTTGGTGAAGATCTATTTACAGTGGGCGAAGAAGTGGTAAAAAACGCAAAAATGCCCGTAAAACCGCAAAACACAAAACTGAAAATTTATATGTACCCCTCATGAACCTAATGAACCTTCATACCAATTCTGATGAAGATCCATCCACACCCTGTGAAGTAGTTAAGTGGACATACGACAGACTGTACTATTGTATTTTAGGGCCCGGCATGGCCAGGTGGTTAGGGTGCTTGACTCACAATCTGTGGGTCGCAGGTTCGAATCCCCGTCACACCAAACATG